CCCCCCCCCTCTCTCTCTCCCTACCTACCTACCCCCCACCACCCCCACTATCTATCTAATCTTTCTTTCCTTTGCTATTAATATTTTCCTGGTTTACTTCTCCCTCTGTCTCTTTTCAGTCCTCCGGAAGGTATCATTTTTATAATGGAAGTAACAATTTCCCCTGATATTAACTCATTCTGTTTCCCATAACTCTGGTTGGCTTTCACTCAGCTGTGATTCCAGCCCTTCCATTCCCCTCTACTCTCCAACTCCTCCCATAGCAGAATGATATTTTTGCCTACAGATTCTTAAAATTTCTCCCTCTGTCTCTTTTCAGTCCTCCGGAAGGTATCATTTTTATAATGGAAGTAACAATTTCCCCTGATATTAACTCATTCTGTTTCCCATAACTCTGGTTGGCTTTCACTCAGCTGTGATTCCAGCCCTTCCATTCCCCTCTACTCTCCAACTCCTCCCATAGCAGAATGATATTTTTGCCTACAGATTCTTAAAATTGAGTGAATCCACCACAAGGCAGCTGTTTCCTAAATCCTGAGGGCTGGATTGCATATGCTGAGTTGGCTGGCTAAGGGATGGTTCGAGTAACCTTGCTCTGTCCCCCTCCCTGCAGGTTCAGGAAGGATGCTAGCCTGATACACTGCAGCCTGTTTGCTGAGTGTGGCAAACATCAGCCGTGCAGATTAAAGCCAGGGAATGACAGGTTAATCCCTTTCCCCAACCTGGTCTCACTGGCCCCACTGTTCAGGTCTGTTAAGATCTCAGATTCTCCACATTCCAGGTAATGGTGGGTCCCCTCCCCTAGGCAAGCAATGAATCCATTGTGGAAAGCCCCAGAGGCTGGGCAAAGCCAGGAGGCCTTTCTTGTCATTCAAAGTTTTCTTCTTTTTCTCCCCCCCTACTACCCCCCCAGGTATTTCACACGTGTCAGAGGCTGGCCCGCTGCCCCTCCGAGGAGCTGCATGATAATATCTCTGGGCCAAGCGTCTTGCCTGCCACTCTGCCTCCAGCTTCTGAGCAACCATGGAGAGGATTTTCTCTGGCTTCTTGCTCTCCGTGCTGCTTCTCTTCCAGAATCACGGCATTTATGGGGCCGCCCCTCAGCCAAGAGGTAAGGGAAGGGCTCCTTCTGTTTGTGGTGCCTGCCAGTCACCCACAGCCATCCCACTAAGGGAGATGTGAACCTGGGGAGATAAAAAAGGGGGAAATGATGCCAAGCAGGTTGCAGGGCAGTGCAAAGAATCTTTTGCAAATATTTGACCACGGCAGCACACTTCAGATGTGTTGCTGCGTTCTCCTGCCTGATCCTGGCTGAGGAAGAAAAGCCCCATGTGCATGGCACAGACACCAGTAACAGAAAGCTGTTTCCATTCTGCTTTCCATACTGTGTCAGGTCTAGTCGCCCTTCGCTGGAGGAGGCACTGCCCTTAAAGGAGATGTCCTGAGCCACCCCCACTCTTCTCCGCTCGGTGTTTCCTCAAGGGCTGGTTTTGCTTGGGCAGTTGGAGGAGGGAATTGGCTTGGGCTGAGGAGACTCTCCTGCTCTGCTCCACTTTCACCCCAACTTCCAGAGAAGCCCCTTCATGCTGGTGAAGTCAGTGGCAGATTTTGCCTGATTTGGGATGACGGGGCTGCTTGAGTGTCATTAGAGACAGGCTGCCCAAGCGATAGCCCCTGGGCATCCACACAGAAGGAGGGTTAATTTTCATGTCTCCAAGACTTTGTTCCCAGCTACAAAATACGTGACAATGCTAGACAGGCAGTGTGCGGAACTGACCGCCCATCACGATGAACAACACTGTCACATTGTTCTGTGTACTCCCAGGCTGTTTGTTTCCACCTGTTGTCTCTGGGCTTTGGGGAAGGGACGACCTGCGTGATCTGTGTTTGTACAGTGTAACCTACATACCTTCTGGCTGTGGGACTGTCCCATCCAGTGGCACTGAGACCACTTACACACAGAGAGAATGAACCTGCTCTACAGCCTCCACTGAGCAGCGGTTGGCTTTTAGCTCATGCAGTAGAGGCTCATGCCCTAAGCTCCTGAGGTCCCAGGTTAGATTCTGCCTGCAGATAACCAGGGTCTGCTGGAATCACTACAGTACCTAGCTCAGTGAGATGCGTAGTGCATTGATTACTATGTTGGCGCAGTTAGGCACCGTGGTATCACAAATGATATCTAATAAAGGAACAAGGATCAAATTCCAAAAGAAAGATTAACAGTGAAAAAGGCTTGTAAAAAATGGCAAAGAAATCAGTCTATTAACTCACCTGGTAGGGGACCTGATAAAGTTACAGACCACAATTAATGTTCAGCCAACCTGCAGAACTCCTGGATGCAGGGAGTGATCAAAACAAATATTGTAAAAAAGGTTGAGTAATTTTAGGGCATTTTTCAACATTTATACCTGTGCAGATCATGGCCACTTAGGGCATATCTACACTAGGAAATTATTTTGAAATAACTCCCAAAATAACTATTTTGATATAGCGTGTCCATACTACAGGGAAGCCTCAAAATTAGTCCCAGGCAGGCTTCGTTAATGTGGATGTGTTACCTCCACTTAGAGCCACAGGACATACTGGGGAGTAACTACTTTGAATGACTCTGGGGAGCAGTTAGTTTGAAATAGTAGCCAAGGAACATACACACTAATGTTATTTTGAAATAACTATTTTCAAAATAACTATTCCTCGTGGAAAGCAGGAGTCATTATTTTGAAATAACCAGCCCCTTATTTTGAAATAATGGCCTTGATAATGTGGATGCCCTGCTTGTTATTTTGAAATAATTAACTAGTGTAGACCAAGAAATTTCTGCCCAACTGGTCAGCTTTGTGAAAGGAACCATCAAGAACTAAATACTGCCAGCGTTAGGAAATGACAAATGGACCATTCATCCAGTTCGTGATATTTGCAATATACAAATATTTTAATTCTGAGCTACTAACAGGTTTTGTGTTTTTTCTAATAAATACAGCAACACGGTGCTTACCCAGACTCAGTTTTATTGTGGTAAGAGCTTGAATTTTATAAAAATTAATATGGAATACGGTAGACTGTGGATTTAGAGTGAAATATCTATTCTTTGGAATAAGTCCATATGTGGCCATTTGTATTTATTTTAATGCCTTCCAAAATCAATTTGGAAAAGGCACTTTTATGCCAGAACGAAAGTGGCCATATATGGAGACTTTCAGGGTTAATTGTTCTGGAATAGCTCTACCTGAAGAGCTCCATGTATAAACAACTTTTAAGACTAGTGAGCACACTGGGACTGGACACAATCAGACTCCTAGAACTGGAAGGGACCTCGAAAGTCCAGTCCCCTCCAGTCACAACAGGATCAAGGACCATCTAAACCAGTGGTTCCCAAACTTTTTGACATGGGGACCAGTAAATCCATTCACGAACTGGTAATGATGTATTCTCCATGTCTTGTTACACCTTTTAACATGCTGTGCTAAAGAAGCATGTTAATGACTAGGGGATGGTTCTGATCCCAGCTGTGACTCTCCCAAGTTTATGCTTGAGCTCATGGTGCCTTTGATTCCTTTCCAAGTCTTTGTCTATGTATACAATAAACTTTTCAAGGGCAAGGAGTGCATTTCACAATGGGTCTGTCTATACTGTAATTACACATCCATAGCCAGCCAACTTGGGCTCACAGGCACGGGCTCTGGCTTCCTCCAGGCCTCAGTGGTGCTTATCTATAACCCCTAGGGTTGCCAGGTGTCCGGTTTTTGCCCAGTAATTGCGTCTTCTGTCTGGCAAAAAAAAAAAAAAACCAACAAAAAAACCAGAAAATTTTCTGTTTTTCTTGGACAGAAGGCCGGCGGGGACATTTTCGAGGGGTGTGTGTGCGTGGGGGGGGGGAC